ATGCGGCAAAATCACTCCAAAATAGCTCCAAATAAGTGTGACTTCCCAATGCTGCTCACTATACTGTGACTCCTGCAAAAATATGGATTTCTGAGAACCATATTGGACTCTGCTCTCCTCTAGGTCTTTTATAACATTTGAGATTTTATGGCCCCCACCCTATAATGTTATAAAAGGCTCTACTTTCTCCTTATTTTCCTGTATATATAGAAAAGCAAATGCACTGGGGAGCTATGCAAACTGAAACGTCTTGGGTTTTCCTTGATGTATGTGAAAGCAAAAAAGTAATGTGTTAATTCTTCAAAATCTGCCCTACTGTTCCACCGTTTGCTTCTGTGCGTTTTCATTTCTCCTTGAATAGTTTCTTTTTTTCTCTCTTTCTCTTGCTTGCTTTCTGTACTATTTATTTCTATATGTAAGGACAATTTATTTTACAGTATATTCTGTGAAGCACTTTGAGATGTCTCAATGACATGATGAGGTGCTATATCAAATGTAAGGATTATTTATTATTTCCCTGGTTTTGTTCCTGAAAATAACAATCTAGATCGATCTGGTGACAGGGAATGGAACAGTAAAAAATTGATAAAACTGAAATGGTGGATGTTGTACATAATCTCATCTGATTGTTAACATATAAATAGAAACATGATCACAACATTAAATACCAGCGAATCTTGTTACCAGCCAGACCAAGGGAATGGGACCTACTGCTCTTAAGTGGTTCAGGAGCTGTATTTTGCAGACTTGCCTAGGTTTTGGAAGATTTTCAACTGACTAAACATTAACAGTATGTGACCTTTGGTGACCTGCCAAGTATGTTTCTGCTGGCTGTGTTGTCCTTTCCTTTCCAAAAACAAATCATCCTATCTGACCGCCAACAAAGACCAGTGAAATTAATATGTAACTAGAAGGCTCCTGCGGATATAACATGGATGGAAGCACTGACCATACAGCAGCTTCATGTTGTAGTTGTTGGTGGTGCTTTCATCGAAAGAAGGCCGGGTGACAATAATTGGCATTACCAAGGATCAAACTGATAGAGGAAACTGAATGTTTCAGTTGCTGATGCAATAGACTGAAAATAGAAGGTGCTACAGTTCAAGAGATGAATTACCTGGTTAAGATATAGAAAACTAATTTCCTTGAAAGTCCTGTTTGTCCAACTAAATTGAGAACAATGTCTCGGTGTAGTGGTCTCAGTTTCCGAGCCCCAGAAGTTGCTAGGCTTGGAGTGATTGCAATTTGCTCGTTCTTAGCACTTTCTTGTTTTTATTCTCAGCCTGTTTTGTGGGGGAAAGAATAGCTGTTTATTCCTATCTCGTGGGAGGAGGAGTAAGATGCTTCCTGATGGTGATGGTTAGGTCCGTGACTTCTAGAGGATGTCCAGGCTGCTCATCAACAGATTCCCTTCAGCTGGAGAAGCAAATATCTTTGAGGAGTGAAGAAAGTAATGGGTACTGGAGGCAAAGGTGGACTGAGTCTAAAAGCAGCAACCTTTTTTATATATATATATGTATACTATATTGACTGGTGGTAAGAAGTAAAGTGAATTGAATCTTGAGTTTGCAAATGTTTAGGTTTTTAAAGCAATTGCATTCTGGAAAAGATTCAATTTGAATATTGAATCTTGAAAGTATTAGAAATATAACCTCACCTGGGGGATGCTTGGGAAGAGATGGATACTGACTCCTGCATAATCTGGCATTGGGGTTGGAGCATACACCCATTTGCTTACTCAATCTGGCATGGGTTAGGGGCAAAACCACTGCAATGAATGTCTACCTTGCCATTTAGATGTTCCCTTTGCCTACCCACTGCCTGCAATAATAGACTATCGAATGCACCTCTTGCTCCATAATCCTTCTGGTAAATGAGCGATAGAGAAGATGATGCTGGGTACTTTGCAAAGAAGACTGAGTGCGAGATTTTCCATTTCATTAAGTATAACAGTGTGAATATTATAATTTAAGAATATGCCAAATTCTGGACACTCTGAAATGTTACCCAAATAGACTAAATCTAGACCTACTTGGAATTCCTACACCACAGTAGAGTAAGGAATTGTTTGCCCTTTCTGCTTATGCAATGCACTTTCATTTAGAGAGGCTTAATTACCTGAACTACCCCCAAGCAGCATAAATCAAGCTGCACAAGCTTTCTGTGATTTCCCTTCTACTATTGAAAGGTCAGTTAAATCAATTTTAAAAGGTTTCATTGAAGGAGACATGACGCCATATAAATTGAAATGAAGCAGGCGATCTTTAGTGTAAAGGCAACTTGGATCAGATGTATATCTAGTGATCAACCAACACCATTTATTTTGTTAGTGCGGGAGAGAGAAGACGATAATGGGTATTTTACAAAGACTGAGTGAGAGAGATTCCTTGTACCATTAAGTCCTCTTTCTCTCTATTTTCTCTCCCTCCTTCCTTCTTTTAGCGCCCTTCTCTTCCTGTTGGCAATATATATCTTTTTAAGTGATATTAATTTGTTTCAAAAGAAATTACTACAACCTCAATTTTATTACACTGAGTGAGATCAACGTAGACTTGCAACCATCTGGCCTGTATAGGATTGTGCTGCACTTGTGACATCGTTACCCACCAACACTGGGATTGATACAAGGATTAGCATTGATATGATGAGTGTTTATTTGCTTCAGAGCACAGTGCCGCTGTTGGCATGGTGCTAGATTGAGAAGTTTGACCGCCATAAATCAAATATTCTTTCTTTCCCTCTTTTCCTGTGCTCTCCCTTTTTTTCAGTGTTCTTTCATTTTTCACCTCTGTTCTACTTTTCCTTCCTCTTTCTTTCCATTTTCTCCTCCTCCTCCTTCACTCCTTTTTACCCCCTCCCTCGGTTACGTCTCTATTGCAGTTTTCTCTTTTAGCACTTGGTTCTCTCCTCACATTTTTCTCTTTCGAGTTTCTCAAGAACAATGGTCTGATTCATTAGAGACTTTGTAGACGGATAGTTGTGTACAGTGAGAGGTTAAGAGAATTTGCTTCTTGGCGAATTGCATTGCTGGATCAGTGTAAACACAGGTTCTCTCTGCTCATGCCTTCATTCTGGCACTTGCTCCATCTTTTAGAAACATGGAAACAGTGATGTAATTCAGCAATAACTTGCATTTGTATAGCACCCTTCAACTGGAGTAAATTTTAGAATGCTTTACAGGGACCTGGTTGCAGTTGAGCAAGGGAGTTGTGTGGGGGAGAAAGAGGTGGCAATTGGCGCATTTGAAGAGGTTGGTTTGAGACTTAATCCATAAGATTGATGTCCAGTTTCACTGATCATGTATTCATAGAAAAGGGTGAGGTGGTGAGATTTCTTTACATCTGTTGTTCCTGATCCTGAATTACATTTTCTTAGAACCCAAATCCAGCTCAAGGTGTTGAATTCTCTTCACTACCAAACAATATATGTTTTGAGAAGGGAACTGAATCCCTAGTTATTGGTATTCTAATCTCATCTGCGTTACTTGGAGAGTTATTTCAACAAATGAACAATGTTACACATACTTAAACATTTAATAGCAAATACTGTCTAATGTATTCGGTTGTTTGCAAAATGAACACTTGTAACATCACAAAAAGCAGATGTTGCATGAATGGAATTTACTTTTTATGTAAGGAAGACTATTAATAGTCACCAGTTTCCTCACTCATAAATTCCATAATTCCCCATTGAATGCCCCTCTTCAATATATTCTGTTGGTACTGCACTGCAGTTACTGTCTACTGCATTGTAACACGTTGAGAAGTCAGAGCAGATGTCAATAACAAATGGATTTTTGCATTAAATTCCTACTGCTTCTGTTTTTGTTGGAAGATTTACAACATTGAGGACAAATTTTCTGTTTCCTTTTCTGCTTGGCATCATTAATTCTTGTAGGAGTATTACTCCTTTTATAGTGGAACGAGGCGAGCCTGAAATTTACTGACTATAATACCATTTCCCACTGAACATGCAGTGCTAAATTGATTCCCTAAATAAATGGGCTGTAATTTGGGTGTACAGTAATGTGTCAAGACAGGATTTTTTTTTGAGGAGTGGGTTCTTTGTACTGGAGATACAATACTGGATATTCTGTTGAAATGATTATGAATATTCCTGTAGTAGGACTTCTTTAGGTTGGCCTGATAGTACAGGCCCATTGTTGTGTGACTGATTGCTCAGAAATACAATACTGGGATCTTGACAGGCACTCGAACGCTCAAGTTCCGAACAGATTCTTGCATTTAGCCCATATACTGTAATTTCTGTAGCCCCTATATTGTTGCATAAAAATAAGAGATTTATTTTCTTATTTTTAGTTATTCACCATTGCGCTGTGCAGGAGTAACATTTTTTTTCTCTTGAGATTAGCTTGACATCAAGAAGTGGATGCCATATTGTTGAAATTAATTCTAAATTTGAAAGTGTTTAGTAAATACAATACATTTATATAGCGCCTTTTACCTCAGAAGAATCTCACAAAGCGCTTAACACTGCTGGCTAGCCGTCTGAACCGAGGTGGAAATCGAAGGGGTTGGGGAGGGGAAAAATGAGTGAAAATCAGACGGAGAGCTATTTCTTGAGATGGACCTTAATGCTTTGCTCCTGTAATTTGTAGTGCATGCTGAGTGGAGATTGGGCTGCAGTATGCAACAAGCCTGTAACATAATAGATTGTATAGACGACGTAAGCCACAAAAGTAGTACAGATCACTTACATAGTCACTACCGTTTACACAAGTGCTGTAAAATATTACAGTCATTTATAATCAATCACGATTTATGTGTCTGTCTTGTGGCAAGCTGGGGTAGGGATCAACGTCCGTAAGTCAGTAGGCTTTGCTGGCATGTCCCTGACGAATAATATAACCATCATTGCATTTTTGCAGCAAATCAGTGTCTTATTTAACAGTTACGGTTTGCAGATGTGGACATGTTAATTGCTGGCTTTTGCACTTGTATTTTGTGTGTGTGTATGACCTGTTTCTTGTCTCTGTGTAGTGACCAACAAGAAGCCATCACTGGTATATATTACCAAAGTCAAGCAGTTTGAAGGATCCTCGTCCTTTGTGAAGAGATCACAGTGGATGCTTGATCAGTTACGACAAGTAAATGGCATCGACTCCAACCGGGTGAGTGAGTCGATAGGGCTGAAGTGTACAGTCGAATCTTGATTAACGTGTAATTTTGGGGCTCCTCACTTAGTTGTGTACCCACTGCCTTGTGTAACACTGAGCCACACATAATAAGAAAGTCCCAGTTTAGACCCTCTGCTACTATTAGGTGATCTTAGCTGGAATGTTACAATTGGTATCTGCAACGGTGTACACCCTTATTTTGTGTGTGTATGTGAAAAAGAGCGAGTACATGTGCATCTCTTCTGTTCCTTCTCCCTCTCCTCCCCCTCCCCATCTCTGTTTGCATGCACATTTGTGTGCCAATGACATCTTGTGAGGGAAGAAGGTACGTCCTTGAATACAATGTTAGAATTTGACCATTTAGAGCATTGGCGATGGTTGTCTCAGTAAACTAAGTTCTTGTGAGTACCCAGAGCAATTATTCAAGGTTCTAAAATAATGTCAAACTCTGAATCTATGTATGATGTAATGTTGCTCTTAGTTTTATTGTTCATTGCTGTGCTTTTAACAGTTCATATTATTTTGTTCTAGGATTGCCCAGAGTTCGACCTAGTGTTTGAAAACGCCTTTGACCAGTGGGTTGCAAGCACAGCCTCTGAGAAATGCACATTCTTTCAAATCCTTCACAATATCTGTCAACGATACCTTGGAGACAAAAAGCCAGAGTTCATCAACTGCCAATCTAAAATCCTGGGAGGTGAGAATGCCTTTGATGTTTTGTGACTTCTCAGTGGACCTTTGTTGCTTCATGTAATGTAATTCTTGCTGATTTAGCAATTGCAATTAGGGATTGAGATTCAATCTATAGTGTCTTTGTTGCTAATTATAAATTGTATCTTATTTCATTGACAGGCTCACGATAATCATGTTTCAGGCAGCCTCTCTACCCCATGTCTTTTTTATTTTTCTGGTGAAGCTTTCTGACATAAGCCCAATTTAGCAAAAGTGCAAAAAGGTTTTGCTTCTCTAACCCATTGTAAAATCAGAAGTGTCAAATCTCTGGGTTTTGTCTGCTCATGCTGTGGAAACGAGGATTGGCTTTAATTAACTACCCAGAAAAGCTTTCTTTTTCAGACCATAACTTTCCTGGTATTTGAAGGAGTAGGTAGGATTTTCAGTATTGCTGGGGCTAGGGGAGAAAAACGTCACTTTACAAGAAATAAGAATAGCGACCTTCCAGAATGGATTCTGTGCATCCATTTCTTCAGTTCAGTTGCTACAGTCGCACAAATCAAAGTACGCTTCATTTTCCATATTCAGAGTTTACACAGACAATTCAATAACAACAACAAATTACACTTGTATTGCTCCTTTCATGTCAGGAGGACTTCCCAAGGCACTTTCATTGCAGTTACGGAAGTTATTACGTTCTTGTGCTGATTCAGAAATTATGAAAAACAACTGCTAATTTCCCTATATTTGGGAAACAATAAGTTCAAAACTCCTAAAGCAAGGGATCACAGCACCAATCTTGTGAAAGTATTATTTTTGGTCTGACAAAAATGATTGCAAACATAAAGAGAAATCAGACCAAAGGTGTGAATTCTCCAGGATTGCAGTGCTTTTTTAGCGCAGTTGAAGTGTGATGGCCTGCTATCTTGGACCATCATTACTTGGAGTAAATTATTTTTTAACCGCAGATAAATGAAGGCCCAAGAGGGCAGCCACCAAGCTGCGAAGAAATGAAGCATTTTGAAATTGTCAACCCACTGCACGTACATGCAATTGAATCTTGTTATGTACAATAAGAAGTAGTTTATTATCAAACTCATAAAATAGCAGAGACTTAATTTAGTACAGTGGCTAAACATACATATTAGTTCAGTTGATGCTGCTCATTTATTATCCACTTTCATGTGGAATAAAGGCAAGGGTTTGAAACAAATGGCTTCTTCATCTATGGGGTTTTTTATTTGGTTTTAACGATCTCTGAAATTGTGTGTGTATGTGTGTAAGTTGGGTATATTGGGTTTTGAGCTCAGTATTTTTCTTCAAGTGAAGAAATATAACAGGCAGGAGTAGCATTTCATTCCAAGAATTATTCCACTGTGAAATACTATGAAGCCAAAAAAAGATTTTTTTTGGAATATTGTTTCTACTTGCTTCATGTTTAATCAGTTGATTTTAAAAAAATCCTTGCTTTTGATATATAGCACCTTATCGCATCAAACATCTCTTAGCATTTTATGGAGTTTTATCTGTAACATGTGCCTGTGCATTTGTAGATGAACCAAATAATGATACAAATCAAAAGCCAACATTAGAGCACATTTCAGTACTGCATAAATAGCTGAGAATTTTTCTTTTTGATAATTATATATGCAGAAGGATCACCTGTGGCACATCCATTTTAGTGGACAAAAACATACTTTTGTGTGTGTGCGAGACAACCATCAAAAGTAAACTATTTCTCTATCATTTGTACTGAATTTAATGTGCACTAAAATCTGCCGGATGCTGTTGGCTAGCCTGTGGTGACATTTGTATGCAATTGCAGCTGGCATGATGCCAATATATACAGTGGGATGGTTTCTTGACACTTCACGCACTACAGTCTGCAAAAGGAGGATAATGTTGACATATTTTTATTACCTCTTAGTACAGTGCTACATCTGTCAACTGAGTGAAATACAGGATTACGGATCAGAACTTAACGGCTTATAGCAGTATCAAGGGAAGGGTGCTCAGTGGCATTTTGCATGTGGGAGGAGGAAGAGGGAAAGAAAAAGTATCCAGAGATTGTTCAGAGTTGGCAAAGTCACTGAAGTTCTTGATTGGGTCATGTTAACCTTTTGAAGAATGAAACATTTTCAGCTTTCAAAATGCATACATCATTTAGTTGTATAGTCTCTGCCAGAATCAGAAGTTAAAGATTGGCTGGTCCAACGCTGTCCTATGCTCACTCCCACATTGCTTTCTCTGCCATCGATTGACAATCTGGGATTATCTTCCAAAACCACTTTACCTTGCTCTCTCTGCCTTCATACACCTTGTCAAAATCTGTCATGTAAAGTCCTCCCACCACACTGAAGGCAGATGCTCGCTAGATCTCAGTAGTTCCTGGGCCAGGCAGGTTCACAGTATTCCAGGACACTGTTGATAACAGCACAGCCAGCCTGGCTCATCGCAGGACAGTGAAGGGAAGACCAGTCACTGGAGGCAGGGAGTCATCCCACTCAGCTCCCATTAACCTTGCAAGCCAAAACCCTAACCCGTTGGGTGGTCCAGGTTGGACAGATAGCGGGATATCTTGCCGGACAACAATATCGATGGCAAGATATGAGGTTTTAGCTGGTTAGACTCCAGCAGTACCCCAAAGCACACTCGGGTCCCCAAGCCTTGGCTCTTGCCAACCTGCGCATAATACTTTCTGGAATCAGGTAAGAAGGATGTGTCGCTCCAGGGAGAGAGTGCACATTCCATTCCAACAATCTATCTATGTTACTTCCATGTGTAGGTGGGATGTGTGAAAATCTCACCTTGATTTGGATACGCTTAAGCATGGTGATGAATTTGCGCATGTGTCAGATACCTGGCTGACGGGGAAAAGAAATGCTTAATACATATCTCTTTGACTAATTCAACAGAGTTAAGTCGCGAAGTTCTGGTAATATTTACCAAGTCTGTTCCAGTACAGTTCACGTTGGAGGAACGCACCTGCATTTGTACCACAAATGAAATGTTACAGGAGATGCCAATTATGCAACAAAAATAACATTAATTGGAGTGACTTCCGCTTTGCACAGCTATGCACAATGGAGCAGTTCTCTCTTGCAAGTAAAGGGTCAACGCTGCAGACAGATGGCTGCAGTTGGCAGGGTCAACAGCGCGACACAGATGCAGCTGCTTCCCTCACCTCCATAACATCGCCCGACACCACCACTATCTCACCCCTCTTGTTCATGCCATCATCACCTCCAGGCTCAACTATGCAAACGCCATGGTTGTCGGCCTTCCCAACTCCTCCCTCCACAGGCTGCAGATAATCCAGAAATCTGCAGCCCGTGTCCTCTCCCGCACGAAACTCCGTGACCCCATCTCCCCCATTCTCACCCGACTCATTGGCTCCCTATCCTTCAGAGGATCCAGTTCAAGATCTTGGTCCTCACATACAAAGCCCTCCATGGCCTCGCCCCACCCTCCTCTGCGACCTCCTAACCCCCTACCAACCCACCCGTTCCCTGCGCTCAGCCGGCTCTGGCCTGCTCCATGTTCCCCGACCCATCTGCCCCACCATTGGCGGGAGAGCCTTCAGCCACTCTGCCCCCAACCTCTGGAATTCCATCTCCCAGTCACTCCGCCTCGCCCCCTCCTTAGCCTCCTTCAAGTTCCGCCTCAAGACCCTCTTTTTCGTCCATGCCATCGGCCACCCCCTTTCCCCTCCCCTGCGCCCCCAACCCCAGCTCGGTTCTGAAATGCCATACACTATCCAGTGCCTTGGGACGTCCTCCCGACAAGAAAGGCGCAACACAAATGTAATCTTGTTGTTGTCCCTTCTGGTACCACTTCGTTGCCAAGGAATATCATACAAAGCCTCTAAAGAGGTGTGGGATCGACGTTTTATCAGCACATCTCTGTTGCCCTGGCTGATTCACTTAAAACCACATTCATTTCAATGTGAAAGCTGTGATGTAAATGAGGTTGGATGCTTTCTTTTCCATCCACTTGAGGTTGTGAGTTGGTCTGATCTAGTTTATATCTCTCTTCTTTCAATATGGAATGGATTTAAAGAACGAATGCTTTTTTTGGATGTGTGTGGGTGGGAGGGCGGAGAGGTGGATAGGATTTCAATTGAGTTAGGGCGTTCTAAAATGCTTCACAGGATGTACTTTTTTTTAATTTTACTGCTCACTCAGCCACATTCACGTGTCATCCGTCAACAAATCTGGGACAGAGTTTTGCAGAGATACTGGGGTGGGGGTGGAGGGAGGAAGTAATATCTGCTGAATTGTGATTTGAATTCTGAAGATCAGCTTATTTACTGTTAATTTAACGGGCAACGTGTATAGTCAAGAACAGGCAATACATTGGCTTTTTTGGGTTGGAGGGAGTCAACTGTTTGCCGCATGGAAAGTTATTTTTTCCATGCGAACATTGAAGTTGAGTTTAAGTAGTAGTCAACAAACCAGCAATGAAATTCAAAGTGGCTTCAGTCCCAACCCTTTGCTGAAGTCAGTGCAATTTATTGATTAGGAACTTAAACAGAATCGGAAATTCTGACAGTGATAACATTGGCAGTGATGATGATCCCATCATATATCATATTTTTCTTCCTGTGGACTGAAACTGGCTTTGACTGACAGTCTAATCAACTACAGAAACTTTAATTATATAGGGCCTTTCAGATATAGAAGAACATCTCAAAGTGCTTGACAAACATAGCGGTGAACTAGGAAATTCGATTTTGATGAAAGTTGTAGTTTTTTAAGAGATGTCTGTTTAGGAGGAGATTGAAGCCAGAGACAGAAGTAACAAGAACAAGGTAACATTGCACACCTCTTAGAGGTGTCCTTTAAAAAAAATTTAATATCTATATTATTGAATTCCTATCTGTGGATACATTTTATACCTGTAATTGTTGGGTTGACTTTTAAATTGAGTTGCATTTGATGGACAGATGGAATCAGCTGAGGGCCAAGGACATAGTTTAGTTGAAATCGTCTTTTTATAAAGTTTGTATTTCACCATGCTGTGTAA